GGGGGGGGGGGACACTTGGGTATTTTTTGGGTGGGTATGTGCCGCCCGGGACTCCAAATTGGCACCCCGTTCTAAAAAAGGTTCCCCTAAAATTGATACCCCGTTCTAGAAATGGGCCAATTTTTTATACTCCGTTCTAGAATGTTTAAAAATTGAAATAACCCTGTTTTTTAAAAAAGATATTTCCTTATTTATTTGACTTATACATCAAAAAAATGCTTCTTCATAATCAGCAACAATTTTAAGCAGAAGATAAAGCCGTGATCCACAATTTTTTATACCCCGTTTTAGAAAACGCCTCTGAAATGGATACCCCGTTCTAAACCAGAAGCTCCAAAATCACGACCCCGTTGGGCGGCACATACCCGTATAGGTAATGTATGGGAGTGCTCCCCGCCCCGGGGGTTAACATTGCTGGTTATCAAATGCGTTTGCTTGTCTACAGGGGGCCCGCACAATCTGTTTGAATAGCCGATTGTTATTTTATAGTAAATGTTGTGGATTTACCGTTTGCCTCACCCATAGCGATATGTCGCTAACTATGTATTTAAATCAATGATAAATAAACGCTGAATTACCTTGTGGTATATAGTCGTCCTTTTGCTTCAAAAGCGGTTTTTTGAGCGATTTTGAAGGCCGGGAGTTTGAGTTCCCCGTTGACTGTTCCTCATAATAGAAGTTGAAAGCAGAGCGATGCGATTTTGGGGGAAAAATCGCTCCGGCACTGGAACCCTTTCAAGCATGGATTCCACCCTTGTCCTTCTATTATAAGGAACAGTCAACGGCGAACGAGAGAATTTTTGTTGTTGTTGGAAAGCACTTTCCTACCTATAAGCAGGCTTGCTACTTTGTTCATGCACGGTTTAAATACCGTGTTTATTTTTGCGGCTTTGGTTATGTTTTGTGCTTTCGCTTTACCATTTTGAGCCCTTTTGACCGCCCCCTTTTTTGGGAGGTGTGTCCTGTGCACTCGGTGTCAATGATTATGCACGTTTTTTCACGGAACTTGGCTTTTTTCTATACTGTTATTGCTGTCTTAGTTTCTCTCCTTCAGCTCTCTCCCTTTTTCGCTTCTATTTCCCCCGGGATAATCCGTTTCAACTCGAGTTTTCATTGGTTGACCATCTGAGCATGAGCAGTAGAACTAAGAATCAAAAGGTAAATAAAAATGGAGGAAAAGACAGCGCCGAACGGGTTTTCAAGTTATTTTGCTCTTGAACGCCAATCTATACGGTTGCCCACAAAGGCAATACACAAATATATATTTTATCACTGCAATCTATACCTTAGTACACAAACATATTCATCGGTTGCAGAGATGCCAACCTCTGAAGATCTAAAATCTGGAGACTCCCTCTTTTTCACTACCCCCCCGGAAATTCAATAAACCACCGCCCCCTCCCCACCCCAGACAAAGATGGGAATGACTAAGGACACTATATGAAGTCTTACATAAAGTACATACTATCAAAATTCGCGTTTTGATGCCAGAAATAATCAATGACTAAATACAGGTGCAAAAATGCCCCAGAAACCGTACAACGAATACGAAAAATTCAAGTTTTGCGCTAAAAATGGGCTACATCTCAAGGCACAGAAAAGCTCAAAAGATGATTCAGTTAATCCGAGAGATATGGTGACCCGTACGGGAGACCAGGAGATTGGTGTCGTATCCGGGAGACTCCCGGATAATCCGGGAGAGTTGGCATGTATGCGGCGGGTTGTACGAGTATATTTACCAGTACAATAAAATCCGGGTTAAGCGCTAATCGGCCTTCGAACAACTGGGCCCAGGGCCCAGATTAGCGCTTGACCCGGGGTTAAAATTATACCCAGCGGGGGAGGAGAGGAATTAACCCTGGTTTCTTTGTCTTGTGTTCAAAAGCATTTTTTTTTTTTTTTGGGTAATTTTCCCGGGGGGAGACTCCGCATATGAAAGGGGTGGGGATGCTCGTCGGAAATTTTGAATTAAACCCCAAAAGGAGACCAATCTAGGCATAGCCCAAGCTTTTTTTGACCCCTAAAAGATACCATGTTGAGACACAGACAATATATATATTTTTATATTTTTTCGCGTGCAACCCTAAACGTAGTCTGCTACATAGCCGTTTTTAGAGTCGTCATGCAATGCTCCTCTCCACTAAAAACGGCTGTGTAGCAGACTACCCTAAACGAGACCTTCACGGCTAAATATGATGGCGTTTTGCCCAGAACACCCTAAGTGAGACCAAAATCCGAAATTTACACCCCTAAGCAAGACGACGAGCATCCCCACCCCTTTCATATGCAGAGTCCCCCCCTGGGGTAATTTTGGCTTTTATTTTTTGAGCTTCCAATCATCAACTAGTAGACAAAAAGAATATAAACTGAAATGCTTTTTAAGCTTTCAAATCTGAATTCAAATCTCGCACTAGCCCTGGGTTATCTTAACCCAGCTTCAAACAACTCGGCCTAGTACAACAATATGTATCCCAGTACAGAAATGTTAATTTAAGTTCAAAAATATAAACTCCAGTACAGAACACAAATAACAGATCCAGTACAAAAAATTATCAATCTCTCAGTACAAAAACATAAACTCCAGAACAAACATATTCATTGGTTGTGCGACTACATTCTTCAGTACATTAAAATACATGACTGTATACAACCATACAACAATATTTATCCCAGTACAGAAATAAAAATTTCAGTACAAAAATAAAAGTTTCAGTACAGAAAAATTTGTTTTAAAAATTAGAAAAAAAATGATAGGTACTTCATATGATTAGTACTATGTAACTAAACCTAAACAAACCTTATATATTGAAATCATTATTATAAATTATCTCAACCACACAGCACTAAACACCACCACACACCTGTATGCAACACCATAAAACCCTGTACATAACCATACACGTCTACACATGACCATTGTATGGACTACCTCTTGGCTCGCTTCTCTTGCCAATTTTTTTTTTCCCCTCGGATTTTCCCCCAGCCGTGCAGACCAGGCTAGTCTTGTTGGGATTATATGTTACTCAATGGATTTTAAGAGACAAGAGGACTGCAAGTAGGTTGGGACTATGGAATTTCCTGCAGAAATAGAGACAATGCAGGTAGCAAGGGTGGGTGGATGTATCATTTTGCAACCTTAAGAAGTAAAAATGAGGATAGAAAAAGGTTCAAGGTTTGTTTATAGTGGAAAGTAAACTTAGCTTATCCAGTGAGTTTTCAGGCACTTCACTCAAATAATTAGAAACAAATAAATATCCAAATAGAACATCACAAGATTAATAACCCCAACTGGCAGGAGGCAACCAGTTGGCCATTTACAAGTGTGGCTGAGAATTTGAACTCAGGACAATCAAGAGTAAATTCAGCTAGTGGTCCAAGCGAGACTCAAACTTGGCTTTGGTGGATTGCAGGTCTGATGCTTCCTCACTGTGTGCAAAAAATTGTGTGATGTTACCCCTAATAAAAGCAAATAATGCACTTTTCTTTGAGATATATATGCACAACATTCTTGATACATTTCAAGTCTGTCAGAAACCTTCTGGCCCTGGTCGTTCAAACATGATAGTGCTATCCACTGGATAAATCACGATCAAGCAAATAAGTATCGGGGAAACCAATATTGCATTATCCACTGGATAGAGATTTATCCAGTCAACAATTGGGGCCTGGTCCCAGGTCATCAAAAAGAGGAAAGCACTATCCATTGGATAAATCTCTACTCAGTGGATAATACAATTTAGTACTAACCAAATCAGTGAGAAGCAATTTTCGTGTGTTTTGATTGGCTCCAGTAACTCGGAATATCCTTGGCTATTCACTTTTTTGCGACCAAAACTAAGATGGCATCTCATTTCAAGCATTTTCGAAAGATGAAATTTGAGCAATAAATGAAGCAGCTGTACAAACAAATACCAAGAAAGCGACGAATTTTGGCTTGTCAGTGTTTACTGGTAGGTAAAAAGTTATTTTCAGGCTGAATTTGCAAAAAAATCGTAAAAATGCACTTGGCAAAATCCCCGAAATGTTTGTAAATTGTAACAAAGTTCCTACTAAGTGGCGTTTTTAATTTATATAAAGTTACTTTTCTTGTTTTTATCCAACTGATTTGGTAAATACTAAAACAAGTATCCTCCTCAGGGTCCGTGAACAGCACTAGATGTATACCTCACCATGACGCTTCGTGTTTTTAATTTATAAAAAGTTACTTTTTTTGTTTTTATCCAACTGATTTGGTAAATACTAAAACAAGTATCCCCCTCAGAGTAGATGAACAGCACTAGATATATACCTCACCTCCACGCTTTGTGTCTCAGTATATCGCCATTACTATTCACCTTCCCTTTAGGGGATAGTTGTATCATTAAAATTATTGGTTTCCATGATATTCATCCACCAGAGAGTGATTTATCCGTTGGATACCTTCATCTAACATTTGAACAACTGGGGCCTAGTTAGATCATTAGAATCAAATATTCACATTGCTCAGTGCGTTTTCTTTGGTATTTTAGGAAATAAAATTCTGGGAAGTTCCTTGTATTTTGATCTTTGCTCTCCCCTCAGAGATAAAGTTCAATGCGGGCCTAGGCATCTAGTCACTTAAGATTAAAAGAAACGTCTTGTTATTATGACAAATTTTATTTTGCCCTAAAGGAGCTTTTCTGTTTCATAAAACATAAAATACATCTTTTCCTTGTTGCAAATTCACATTCATTACTTCAGTGGCTTTCANCTTCCATTTAGGGGATAGTTGTATCATTAAAATGATTGGTTTCCATGACATTCATCCACCAGAGAGTGATTTATCCGGTGGATACCTTCATCTAACATTTGAACAACTGTGGCCTACTTAGATCATTAGAATCAAATATTCACATTGCTCAGTGCGTTTTCTGTGGTATTTTAGGAAATAAAATCTGGGAAGTTCCTTGTATTTTGATCTTTGCTCTCCCCTCAGAGATAAAGTTCAATGCAGGCCTTGGCATCTAGTCACTAAGATTAAAAGAAACGTCTTGTTATTATGACAAATTTTATTTTGCCCTAAAGGAGCTTTTCTGTTTCATAAAACATAAAATACATCTTTTCCTTGTTGCAAATTCACATTCATTACTTCAGTGGCTTTCATATTAAAATAACTGTTTTTTACAATTCAATAATAGCTCTTTTCTTTCACCTTTCTTGAATACCAGACAAAAGGAACTCTGCAGAGACAAGAAAGGAACAAGCTACATAATGGTTAAGCGAAAGCCAATTTGCATTCAATTATTGTTCTTTAATTATATGAAAATATAATAAAAAAACTAGGTTAGACATTTTTCTTTCGCATTTCAATCTCACAAGCAAAATTAACCCTATATTGTTTCTTAAGTTCTTCAAATAGCAGTTAAACCTGTATTTATAGTGATATATATTAATTTCAACTCGAGGTCCTCGTAAAATGTTGTCAGACCATCCAACAAAATATTAAAGCTTTTTAGTCTTAACTGTTTATAGCGGTTCCAATATAGGCTTATGATTTATTTCGAAGGAAACCCTGTACAGGGTAAGTTTCTTTGAAAGGACGACAAGCATGAAAGCTATTTGAGACTGAAAAACGCCCGTAAGATGATAGCGTGATTTGTTAATTTCGGGAGAATTTGCGCAACTGATTTGCATCAGGAATTTTAACAAATAATTTATACCGAGACACGAACATGTACTGCATTCGTCCATACTGGTCACCTTTAAAAATCCTTCCTCTTGTAAACTAAGTACTTGGTACAGGAAATGCACTGTTCACAGCACCAGCTGGAACGAGTCCTGCGAAGTCACTTTGCCTTTTACGCGGCGTATTTTCCGACTGTCTTTGAATATTTTTCGCTCTTTTCAGTTCACGATGAGCTCTGTCGTGGTTTTCGAGGCCCGGGGGAAGTTCATGCTCCGAATGTTTTTTCCTCTTTAAAGATGACTGTTCAACTCTCATTCTTGAAAGCGCAACCACTAGCGAATCACTCATTTCAGCAAATTCTTGAGTGTCGTGAAATTCCGGAGACGATGAAAGCACCGCCATACCAAAATGTCTTCGATAACCCATGGTAGGGCTTGGCGGGGGAGCGCAAGGCAATGGCGACTCCTCGCAAGACGGCGAATGCCGCAGACCGGCCATTCCCGCTACTTTTTTCGACACAGAAATCTTCGTTACTTCCCAGAGGTTAAATACGCGAAACTTCAATCGTACTTTGTTGCAACAACCGTCCTTCAGCGACCAGAAATTCTTGCTCCTTCGAGGACATTCACCTCATCTCAACCTCCCACTCACATCATCTACCTACTTCACATCCCAACAGCTGACGCCATTATGAAGTTATTTCTCAATAATTGACCAATGGCGTTGCACGGCAAACAATAGAATTTATAGCGAAAGCCAATCACAAAGCTCGTCACCATACCACTCTACTTTTTAGAACCTCCTTTCTGCCTCACGTGCGGAGAAAAGCTAGCGTGACTTGCAGCACGCGAGGAAAAAGGACACAAGGCAAGCAAACTTCCCGTTAAATCGTTATGCAAGTGACATTTTCAGTACTCCTTCGACCAGAGACCCATCTTTCCTTTATTAATACAACCGGAAACCGACAACAGCCTTGTTCAAGCATGGGAAAATGGCTCGCTTTAGTCTTTTTGCGGCTTCATTTTCTGGGGGAGGGGTTGGGGGAGGGTCTTCTTATTCTGTCCAAGATGACTAAGATGGTATACGCACGGTAGCCTCTACTCGCAGGGTTCATTTTCAATTGTTAAAAAAATTCATTTTCTCCCGGCCTTTTCCTTTTACACCGGAAGTTTAATCCACAATTTTGTTGTGACTGCACGTTCCTATCCTCCGTGTACAAAATACACGTACACGCACGAACTGCGCTCCCAATAATCCGAAAGATAAACTGAAAAAACAATGAGCTGCACAGGCTTTGAAAAACTCCAGTGCACGCTTACAACTAGCGGAAACATTAGCGAATACATGAACGTCGAACGCCATTTGCTGGTGATTTCTGACCGCCTAAATGTACTAAAACAACAAAAATTGAGCTTAAATCTTAAAAATATTGCAACATTTACCTATTTCTATTGACAAAGTATTATTTAGAGAACCAAAACGTGACCTAAAAGGGGCTCGACAAGCCAAACCCCCTTCTTTTGTCGAGTTAAGGTCACGTAAACCAAGGGCCTCGCATGACATTTTGCAGAAGAGCTTCTTTTATAACTTTCTTATGGGGTCTTTGGTCGGTTTGGTGTTGAGGTTTCACAGTGACGTCATGTCCTCTCGTCATGTTGTGGTTACATTATTTCCTTAATATATTTGATTAGGTTTTGCTATTACGTCGTGTGAGCTTGTCCTAACGAAGTTTAACCGGATATGTGATGTGTATTATTATTGTGGTGAGGTTTTATCATCATGTAATCAGGATACTTTATCATGTTATGTGGTTTTGCCATTATGTAATGTGGTTACATTGTTATGTGGCCCGCTTCTTTCGTCGTGACGTGATGATTAGAGTAAATACCAGATGATTTTTCAAGGTTAACAGCCACACGATCCGAGGATAGAAAGTCTGAATTGCCATGAACGCAAATCATACGACGTACTTTCATAATCGCTAGCACAACAAACACAACAGTAACAGCCACAACAACAACAAAAGAGAAACATTAGGGTAGACTAAGGTAGTCGCTTGTAACACAGTGTAGCCTGCGAGCTACGTGAACGTTTAAACGGGTAAGGAAAAAGGGAGCCATAATTTCGCCTTCAGATAGAAAACTTTAGAATAATATTCCCAAATGAAAAGAAAAAAAATGCACAAAAAAAAACTTGAGGCAAAGCAGTCTTCTTAACCAACTACTTGACATACTTTAAGTCTCATTTTTGCTGCTGCTATTGTTATCATCCATGTCATCTTTCTATTTTCTATATAGGAATTATTAAAAAATTCCCCGAATTTAAAAGCAAAGGTCGTTTCGTACACATTATTTAGAACAGCTATGTACTGACGTACGGAAGCTTAAAGGGACATCTGAGTTTGATTTGAAAATCGGTGTTCCTTTTGTTAAAAATGGGAGTTTGAAAATGGGAGTCTGGTTTCGAAAATGGGTGAAAGAGATTGACCTTGGGTGGCGTTTGTCAACAACAGTCGCTCTTGAGAAATGGTCCCAGACTGTGCTGAGTGGTCGACAAAATGGCAACTGTAAGGATTTGTGTAAAGAGGTAAGCTCTTGTCGAGATGCTTTGGTTCCTTTACAATAAAGTACTCGATCTAAAGATTGATTATTCTTTCACGTAGCTGATTTTATATCCAAAGAATTACTTCGAGTACTCCTTTGTAAAGGAATCAAAGTATTGTGTTTACAAGAGCCTACCTCTTTACATGAATCCTCTAGACTCCTCGCCTTGGCTGAGGTCAACCCAACGTGGCTGAAGAAACCACACAGCCTGGGACGAAGTTTAAAACAAGCTCCGATTTTCGAACTCCCATTTCCGAAAGCAAACTCCCATTTTCAACAAAACGAACACCGATTTTCAAGTCAAACTCAGATGTCCCTTTACAAGGCCAGGGTGATTTCAAAATTAAGAGTCAGTGAAACATATATCTTCAAAAAATTTGGGGTTGATTCTGAAACGTAATATTGGATAAATTTGATTAGCTCATTTAAAGCTGTAGAACTACCTTGATATAGAAAAGACACCACACTTAAATATTTAATATATATTTTAATAAGCAGTTTCTTTCCCTCATCTGTTAGCCCCCTCTCCCTAAACTGACAAAACACTTACAAAAATCATAAAAAAAAATTCCTCAACGGTCAGAGAGTTAGCTATAATGTGCTGGAATGCTAGGAGTAATGAATAATTATTTAGAAGAACAAAAAAACAAAAAAGGGCGAGAAAACTCTTAACAGATCAAGATTTCTCACAAAACTGGTCCGACTCCATTCAGGTAAGAACCAAAAACATTGTTTTCTTATATTCTATCACTTTATCATCCCAATCAAAATAGTAACATGAATATAAATTATTTCATATTTTCACATCTGTATTTTAATAGAAAACCTGTTTTAAAAGCAGTATGGACAATAAATATAAAATTTGCAAATAATGACTGACGTTGATTGGTCATCTCCTTTTTCCAGTGCTGTCTTCGATTTCTCCAGTTACCCTTACAAGATTTGCCCATGGTGCTAACTACTGTATTTCTGCATTGCCTAAGTTTGCTTTAATCACATTGGAGCAAAACTTGTTTGCCTGAGTGTTCTTCACTTGGCTTTCTTGTAGTTGCAATATTACTCTGTACAATTATCCCAATGCTTGCACTATCACTTTAATTAGCCAAATCAGCATCTTCTAGCAGAGCTTCCCTGCCTTTGATGTCATCTTTCAATATTGATGATCAGCTTACTGTACAAAAAGCATCCAAGCAGTTGATATCCAAACATGTGTTGTATCGTTAGATTATCATAATCTGTGTCTTAAAGTAAAACTCCCTTAACCTTCACATCCTCAATTTTCTTTCATCCATTTTTATCCACTTTGTCAGCTTGCCACAACTGATGTTGAAGGTTGTTGATCAGTTGATGATAGTGTTGGTTTGAAGTACATATTACCTTTACTTGTACCAGCTAAGATAGCATCAACCTAAATTTTAAACAACAAAATTAACGAAAATGACGTTATTTCAGTCAGCGACACAGGCAGCTTGGAATAAAAATCTGAGCCCTCCCAACAGGAATCAAACCTATGACCTCCTGGCCCAGGTTGTTCAAAAGAACCATCACTATCCAGCAGATAAGGATTTGGGAAACCAATATTATTGCGCTATCCAGTGGATAGAGATTCATCCGGTGGAAAACGTTACCCACCTTTTGAATAATGGGAGCCAGGTTACTAGCCCAAATGTTCTACAACTGAGCAACAGAAGACTCAGCTCATAAGAACTAAGGCCACTAACCTACACTATTTATTTGATAAACATCATGCACAATGACAATATCTTGGAACACACTTTCCCCCTTTGGGAAAATTGCAAGTACCTCTTTCACAACATTGTTCCTAAATTCTGTCATCTGTTCTTGTAGCACAAGTGCATCCTCTCTAAGTTTTATCTGTCTTTCTCGTAGTGTTCCAAGCATTTCAAGATTGGACTGCAAAAACAAGATAACAATAATGAGAACATCATTATGTCAAAAGTGATAAAAATATACAGTAGTTACTGGCTGCAACTAAAACAAAATCTGCACAAACGAATGAATAACAAAAACATCACTGACTTCCCAACAAACATCATCGAGCTTTATACATAGCTCCCTCAAACCCCATCACTCCTCTTCAGATGTAAAATACCTCTTAAAATTTCAGAGGAAATTTCACGTGGGTAGATGTTGTGGTGGGAAAAAGGCTGTTTTGGGAACAGGAATCTTATACACATTCAATAATAGTTGTATTTAAGGCAGATTGTGATTTACCTTCATAAGTTCTAGTCCTTTACATGTCACTGGTGGTTCAGCTTTAGCTTTACTCTGTTCTGAGCTATCTGTTTCATCGCCGTACATGTTTCTAAAATATCACAGAAAATTGAAGCATTCTATTAGGTAATCAGTCATTGATAATAATATTATTGTGTACCATGTTCTATCTGCTTTTACCAATCAATGGTTGAAAACAAAAATGGTATTCGAACCTGTTAAACTCTTCCTGAGTTATGGATAATGCTTGAGCATCAAGCTTCTCAATAAATGATACAGCACAACACTGTCAAGAAAAAATAATACAACTTTTACACTGTTCTGTAAGGAAACGATTTTTAGAAGTAATACATGTACATTGTACTATGAAAAAGGTAAAAAAAAAAGCACAACAAAATTTAACTGTCTGCCTCTTTCTGGACAATTGTTTTATTGTCTAGACTTTTTTGCTAGTAATGGCTAACATGTTTCATTCATTAATGGTAAGGGCTGGAAAGAGAATGAATCCAACTATAATTTCTCTTAACATTATTCTATTCCATCCAGTGAAATGTCCTTTAATGAAAAACGTAAACTTCACCATGTACATTTCATGTAACATAGATTTAGTTACAATGTACAGTGTATGTGCTTGTACTTCCACTTACAAACTTATGCTACAGGTTTCTAAAATGCCTAAACAAATTAATGCAAGGTAAGAAATTTTAATCTAATGTGTTCATCATTAGCGATGACAGCATAATGCACGCAAACCATAACAGATTGAATAAAATCATAACGCACATAGCCTTTATGTACAGGGTCACAATATGTACCTACCAGGTTTGTAAAGTAATATCCAGCTTCTCCCATCATTAATTTATTTGGATTACAAAATCTGGAAATATACCTGTAGAAAATAAACCATGCAGTAGTGTCAGCCAATCTGTGATTGGCAATAGGCACTGGAAGCAATGAAAATTGATTAATATTGACGTGGAAAATAATATGGTGTGAGTTTGAATGTTAAAAAATGAGACTCAATGATTATGATACTTACTGTACATTAGAATGTAACATTGTAGGATTTGCTTTTAACACAACATAAATAAGACAAGGCAGAAAATCATCTGTCCCAGACTGTGCTGAGTGGTCGACAAAATGGCAACTGTAAGGATTTGTGTAAAGAGGTAAGCTCTTGTCGAGATGCTTTGGTTCCTTTACAATAAAGTACTCGATCTAAAGATTGATTATTCTTTCACGAAGCTGATTTTCTATCCAAAGAATTAGTTCGAGTACTTCTTTGTAAAGAAATCAAAGTATTGTGTTTCCAAGAGCCTACCTCTTTACATGAATCCTCTAAACTCCTCGCCTTGACTGAGGTCAACTCAGCGTGGCTGAAGAAACCGCATATAGCCTGGGAAGAAGTTTAAAACAAACTCCGATTTTCTAACTCCCATTTTCAACAAAACAAACAACGATTTTCAAGTCAAACTCAGATGTCCCTTTACAAGGCCAGGGTGATTTAAAAATTAAGAATCAGTGAAACATATATCTTCACAAAATTTGGGGTTGATTCTGAAACGTAATATTGGAAAAATTTGATTAGCTCATTTAAAGCTGTAGAACTACCTTGATATAGAAAAGACACCACACTTAAATATTTAATATATATTTTAATAAGCAGTTTCTTTCCCTCATCTGTTAGCCGCCTCTCCCTAAACTGACAAAACACTTACAAAAATCATAAAAAAAATCCTTAATGGTCAGAGTTACCTATAATGTGCTGGAATGCTAGGAGGTAATGAATATGTAGAAGAACAAAAAACAAAAAAAGGGCGAGTAAACTCTTAACAGATCAAGATTTCTCACAAAACTGGTCTGACTCCCTTCAGGTAAGAACCAAAAACATTGTTTTCTTATATTCTATCACTTTATCATCCCAATCAAAATAGTAACATGAATATAAATTATTTCATATTTTCACATCTGTATTTTAATAGAAAACTTGTTTTAAAAGCAGTATGGACAATAAATATATACTTTGCAAATACTGATTGACATTGATTGGTCATCTCCTTTTTTCAGTGCTGTCTTCAATTTCTTCCGTTCCCTTACAAGATTTGCCCATGGTGCTAAGTACTGTATTTCTGCATTGCCTAAGTTTGCTTTAATCACATTGGACTTGTTTGCCTGAGTGTTCTTTACTTGGATTTCTTGTAGTTGCAATATTATTCTGTACAATTATCCCGACGTTTGCACTATAACTTTAATTAGCCAAATCAGCATCTTCCACCAGAGCTTCCCTGCCTTTGATGTCACCTTTCAATATTGATGATCAGCTTACTGTACCAAAAGCATCCAAGCAGTTGATATCCAAACATGTGTTGAACCTTTAGATTATCATAATCTGTCTTAAAATAAAACTCCCTTCATCTTCACATCCTCAATTTTTCTTTCTTCCATTTTCATCCACGTTGTCAGCTTGCCACAACTGATGTTGAAGGTTGTTGATCAGTGGATGATAGTGTTGGTTTGAAGTACATATTACCTTTACTTGTACCAGCTAAGATAGCATCAACCTATTTTAAACAACAAAATTAACGAAAATGACGTTATTTCAGTCAGTGACACAGGCGGCTTGGAATAAAATCTGAATCCTCCCAACAGGAATCAAACCTATAACTTCCTGGCCCGGGTTGTTCAAACGAACTATCACTATCCAGCAGATAAGGATTTGGGAAACCAATATTATTGCGCTATCCAGTGGATAGAGATTTATCTGGTGGATAACATTATCCACCTTTTGAACAATGGAACCAGGTTACTAGCCCAAATGTTCTACAACTGAGCAACAGAAGACTCAGCTCATAAGAACTAAGGCCACTAAACTAGACTATTTATTTGATAAACATCATGCACAATGACAATATCTTAGAACATACTTTCCCCCTTTGGGAAAATTGCAAGTACCTCTTTTACAACATTGTTCCTAAATTCTGTCATCTGTTCTTGTAGCACAAGAGCATCCTCTCTAAGTTTTATCTGTCTTTCTCGTAGTGTTCCAAGCATTTCAAGATTGGACTGCAAAAACAAGATAACAATATTAAGAGAACAGTATTATGTCAAAAGTAATAAAAATATACAGCAGTTAGTGGCTGCAACAAAAAAAATTCTGCAGAAAAGAATTGATGAATAAAGATAACATCTCTGACTTCCCAACAAACACCATCAAGCTTTTATACATAATATATAGCTCCCTCAAACCCCATCATTTCCTCTACAGACGTAAAAGACCTCTTAAAATTTCAGAGGAAATTTCATGTGGGTAGATGTTGTGGTGGGAGAAAGGCTATTTTGGGAAAAGGAATCTTGTACAAATTCAATGATAGCTGTATTCAAGGCAGATTAAGATTTACCTTCATAAGTTCTAGTCCTTTACATGTCACTGGTGGTTCAGCTTTGGCTTTACTCTGTTCTGAGCTATCTGTTTCATCACCATACATGTTTCTAAAATATCACAGAAAGTTGAAGCATTATAAAGGTAATCAGTCATTGATAATAATATTATTGTGTACTATGTTCTGTCTGCTTTTACCAGTCAATGGTTGAAAACAAAATTGGTATTCAAACCTGTTAAACTCTTCCTGAGTTATGGATAATGCTTGAGCATCAAGCTTCTCAATAAATGATACAGCACAACACTGTCAAGAAAATGTAATAAAACTTTTACACTGTTCTGTAAGGAAACGATCTTTAGTGATACATGTACATTGTACTATGAAAAAGGTAAAAAAAAAAAGCACAACAAAATTTAAACTCTCTGCCTCTGATCTCTCTGGACAACTGTTTTATTGTCTAGAGTTTTTTTTACAAGTAATGGCTACATGTTTAATTCATTAATGGTAAGGGTTAGAAAGTGAATGAATCCAACTATGTCACTTGACATTATTGTATTCCATCCACTGAAATGATCTTTAATGAAAAACGTCAACTTCACCACGTACATTTCATGTAACATAGATGCAGTTACAATGTACAGTGTATGTGCTCATATTTGCACTAAAAAAATTATGCTCCAGGTTTCTAAAATGCCTAAACAAATGCAAGGTAAGAAATTTTAAGAATGTGTTTATCATAAGCGATGACAGCATAATGCATGGCATGCAAACCATAACAGATTGAATAAAATCATATTAATGAACATACCCTTTAAGTACAGGGTCACAATATGTACCTACCAGGTTTGTAAAGTAATACCCAGCTTCTCCCATCATTAATTTATTTGGATTGCAAAATCTGGAAATATATCTGTCGAAAATAAACCATACAGTAGTGTCAGCCAATCTGTGATTGGCAATAGGCACTGGAGGCCATGAAAATTGATTAATATTGACGTGGAATATAATATGGTGTGAGTTTGAATGTTGAAAAATGAGACTCAATGATTATGATACTTACTGTACATTAGAATGTAACATTGTAGGATTTGCTTTTAACACAACATAAATAAGACAAGGCAGAAAATCATCAGCGCTTACTGCTCCCCCCACAGGTGTTGACAAATGAATAATTTCTAACAACTGTTAAGGTTGCTAATACATGTTTTCAAATAGATGCTAGAGAGCTTTAGATTGGAGGATGAGTACGATTACGAGGATGACATTATTTTACCTCAGAAAGCATCATACTTTTTTTCACCACAAAATTAATTTTAGTTCATTTATTTTCCTTGAAGGAGGTAAAGCCCTCTCCTGATCACTAAATGATAAAATGCCTAACATTTGATAACTTGTTTTCGCCACTACAACATTCTCGCTAACACTTGTAGTAGAATGATGATGGCTATCACATTTTCCCCCCAAAATGACATTGCTTTGCACCCTCGTGCTACTCAGCATTCGGAGAATCTCATTCTTGTAGTCATCCTCATCTCAGAATCTAAAGCTCTCTGCTGACTGATCATGAAATTGAAGATGGACAAGGCATGCGCTAATTATCTTCCCATTCTAAAGCCTTTAGTGGTAAAAAAAAAAAGCCTCATGCATAACACATGCACAGTATAATGCTGAGCTCTAAAAAAACTGCAAGGGAGCCCAGTGCTATCAACCAGTGAAATTCAGGGTGCTCAACATAGGATTTCTCTGAAAAAATGAAGATTTCCTAGTTGCTCAAGAGCAAACGTAAGGTGCCAGGAGCCTCCAGAGGCAGCCAGAGCACAGCCCTGCGGTAACAGGAAGAAAGTAACAATAACTTTATTTATTATTGTTAATTAATTTTAAAAAGGATACTAAATATTTTCTTGCAACATCGAACAACACAAGCCAGCTTGTCTTGAGGAGCTCTTTTAGTGTTTATCTCAACAAGATCTTTTAAATAAAAATTCAACAAATATGAATTATTATGATTTGGTTATTTAAAAGTACAGTCATGTCTTCAAATTGTTTTAAAAAAATTAATATGAAAATTAATGATGGAATTAAAATCAAATGATCATTATTGGTAATTATAATAATAATAATAATAATAATAATAATAATAATAATAATAATAATAATAATAATAATAATAATAATAATAATAATAATTTTGTTCAATATCATTAAACAAAACTGTCTTGAGCCTGAAGGAAACAATCCAAACCCACACAATTTGACAATTCTTTCACTGTTTCTGAATAATATCTCAGATTTTGGAGATTACTAAAATAAATTTAAAGGTAATGATAAAAACCAGGCTTGAGATAAGCATTAACCTTGCTGTGAATCTTCAATCAACTGCTGAACCTTCTGATTGTCAGGATTAATGGCAGCATCAAGATGTTGAGGAGATATCCAGTTAAAACTTCGAATTCTCTTTTGATTTGCCAAGTCTCTTGCTTCATCATCAGTAGAGGGTGGACAGAAAACACTGAAAATAGGAAATTGTGAATACTTAATTAGACTGAAAACCAGTCCGAATTTTTGTGTTAGTCAAGAATGCAAGAATTCAGATAAAAGATCTTGATGTCAAAACTGCAAGAATTTCACTCTGGTGATTAGCACCTTGCAAAACTAATTCTTATATAACGGGACTGTTAAATTGCAGTCTAATACTTAACATTGCCGATATTTGTACACTTTTGGAAGGTGCAATCACCAAATGGACATTTTAAAAAAGAGCTTGAAAAGATACTGAACATGACCCACACTACATTGCAATAATTTTTGTTCTCAAACAATAATAAACTCCAATAACACCAAGAAACACCGGATCATTATAATACATTTCTTGGAAACTACCCTCCTACCCCTCCCTTAAGTCAACATTATATATATAACACTTAGTTCTCACTCAGGGCAAAATGTTGGCTTAGGGGAGGGGTAGGTGGGCAGTTTCCCAGAAACGTATAATGATCCGAAACACCCAGGAGATGGGATCCTAACAATACACAGACTTTAACAAAACTAAAAAAGCTATATTATAAAAACTAATGACAGCGTTTCAACTCATACCTGGGCAACTCAAATATCAGGTTCAAAAAACTTGAATAAGCACCCACCCACCTACCCTCCCCAAAAAAGCAAAGTGGACAAGAAGATTGATGGTTATTATTTCCTTTTAGTGCCCAACCTGCTTCTTGTCAATTGGTCCATTTGCATATTAAGTTAATTTTAATGCAAACACTACTTGCTTACAACAAATCACTTGACAGTTACTATTGTTCAAGCTGCTCAATAATAAACTTACGCTCTGTAGAGCTTGGTCATGATGTGCTTTTCTACACCATCCAATGTTCTATCAATCACCTCCGGAGGTTGGTTTTGGAACAGAGGGTGGGATTGAAGATGTTCAGACATCGCCTAAATAGTTCATGATTTGTACATGGTCAGTAAAAGTGAAAGTCACAATTGAAAACTAGGATACAACTACAGTACAGTATCTCTTAGAAATTTTATTAGATTGAAGCGCAGTGCCAGAAATGTCAGTCAAAAGATCATAACAGTTGATGACAGTTTGAAGATGACAACTTCATGCATATTAATCAACTTTCATTTACCATGAGTTACGTGTAATGAAACTAGGCCCCATTGTTCGAAAGGTGGACAACATTATCCATTGGATTAACCCGTCTATCCACAGGATAAATTGGTTCACCGCTGAATAGAATTTGTCAGGTGTATAGCACTATCCAGTGTTTGAACAACCAGGGCCTGATCTTTACAGTTTGATGGCGATTTAAGTGAATTTTATAACGTAAAAAAGTTACTTTACTCACCCCGTAAAAATCATGTACCATTTCACTCTGCTCATCCACACTGAGTGTAGGATTGTTTAACATTCTTTGGACAAATCTGAAAAACAACAAACACAATAAAAACAATTATTACACAAAAAGGGAAAATTATCAGCAAGTTTGTACTCTCCACGTCTTACAACATGATTTAATGAACAGAACAACTTACAAAATCCACACTTAAAATGTCCAAGCACAAAACAAATAAATATTCTTTGAAGCTTGGATTCATTTTAATAATACGCATGTCAAAAAACAAAACTATTACTGGNCTCCACGTCTTACAACATGATTTAATGAACAGAACAACTTACAAAATCCACACTTAAAATGTCCAAGCACAAAACAAATAAATATTCTTTGAAGCTTGGATTCATTTTAATAATACGCATGTCAAAAAACAAAACTATTACTGGGTCCCAAAATAAAAACAACATGACAAAACTATTTTTAGTCTTTACATGACAGAGTATTACAGAGTGTAATGCCTCCTCCCTGATGGGGCTTCAGTACGAGGCTGAAGGGATGCCACTGGCAGTGATTCCCTGCCCTAAATCTACATGTATTAATTGAACACCAAGACAAATAACAGGGATGTAGCTTAAATTTATAACACAAAGGAAATGGCATTTAATGTGCGGGTAACATAGGCCAGAGGCCCATTTGAACATGCCTTGGTTGCATTCCCTCTAGGGGGGTCCAGGGGCATGCTCCACCAGAAAATTTTGAATTTAGACTTTTGCAAGTGTGTTTTCCTTGATTTTGGAGGACCAAAATGGACTTAGAATCCATGTTTTTGTTTGAATAAACATGTAAAAAAAAGAAAAATTGCTGTTGTTAGCTGTGCTTGGTGAACTAACTTTGGCTGATAATATTATATATAAAAAAATTCCTTATACCAAGATTCTCGGAATCATCTTGTCTTACTCTTTGCGGGGAGCTAGGTAGTGGGCTTGCAAACTCAAACAGTAACAAAATGGTAATAACAATAACAAAATTTACAAAAATACATGTAAGAGGAATACAAAACTTTCCATGAGGTGTCAGTAATGTATGCGGAGTATTAAGTGTCTCTAGGTGTCCTGATTTATGTCTGGTATGCATAAAGGTTTCCATTGACCAAGCACTTTAATCAGCTAGTCTGAGAGGCCCTCAGCTCCCGCAGTGGTAGCAGGTCTGATGCAAAAGCTGTGCGATGCGAGTGGGGAAGGTACTGGCCATCTGAGAACTGGAGCAGAGGCTGAGCAACTGGATGTGTACTTGTTTGGAGGAGATATTCTCTTAATGCAGTAACAGCACATACAAGTCCTTGAACTTACAGCAATCAAAGAAAGTGCCAACTGAGAGGGCATATAGCATAATATAGAAGGCAGTGTGCCAAATAAGGAAATGCCTTGTGGGGTAAAACTGCAGTGATCTGCAGGCTCACAGGTTATTGCCAGCCAACTAATTAACTTTTATTTTATGCTAAAATATCATTAAAAATAATTAATCATAACAAGAAATAACTACCTACAGGACAGAGAGAAGAAAATAAAAAGAAAATTTATAAAAATATGAGTTTGAAACTCACACTTTGCACTTGTCATTGACATCTTGAGCAGCCGGCTTCTTGAGGGTCTTCAGAAACTCACGGAAACCAGCAGCAGCCTTGGGAACCTCCACTAGAATGTACAAAAAAGTCTGAGTTAATAATAATATAAATAACTGTCAAAATAATGTCTGAAAATTGACAGTGTTAAGATCAAACTGGACAAAGTAATGTCTAAGAACAAACCTTGAGAAGTGTTTCTCATACTCATATAACAAAAACTAATGCATTTTGCCTAGGAGAGATAACTTAGGTAGATGCACTTTTACAATGTATACGGTGTATGCTCTGTAAATTAAAGGTAAAGTTTGTGTCTTGTTCAAGATGCATCTTATCAATATCCCCAAGTAAATGGCCCTCTTACTATAATCAGAGCAGCATAGAATAATATTCTGCCGTGTTTACCTGGTGATGGAGTAAAGTTAGCAGTTGGGGAACCATCTGGTAAAACGTTTCTACCAGGACTCTTTTTGAATAAGTTCTTTACACTCTGCCTGTTTGAATAAAAAAATTAAACCCTTCGTTTCTTAGCTCCTAAAAGTGACTTGGTCATTTGGACCTCCTGGCCATTACAATCCTCAACTGGGAACACGTAATATAACCTTTCTGTTACAATGTACATAAGCTGACAGTTTAGATCACAGATGAAGTTCAAGCGATTCAAATGAAACAAAATATTAAATTTTGTTTTAAATTGTTGCTCCGTGTTTTGAAGTTTGAATACTAAACATTTAGTTTATCCTTATGCTACATGTGACACAGCAAACACTGCTAAACCAAACACAGAGGTCACTGGAAAAAGGAAATGTCCAAGAAGTGAAAATTCAGTCCTGATTGCCTTGTTTAACATTTAATATAACATTTTAACATTTATTGTCCCCATCAGTAACACAGGAAATGTAGGGAAAAAAGTGAAGAGAATATGCATGCTGATATTAGGGTTTCAAGATCCACATGCCTTCCTATCAATAATAGCTATACACTCTACATAGGATAATTTCAAGGCTGTCACTAAGATTCCAAGTTACTCGGTATATAAGCCAATTGGTAGGCAGGGTGTTGAATAGCTGGGAAGTTCTTTTGGTTACATTTTCCTTTTCGTTTTCTTGGAAAGTAGTTCAGGGTCATGCTGATTGTAGAGAGGGAAAATTCCCAGGTTCCTTGCGGTGATAAAAAGCCCCTGTTGATACACGTTAATTTTGTTCCCTTGATTAAAATCATGGTTTCAAAGAAATAATGTTACAAGTCAAATTTGATTTCGGGCTGACAGTTTTTTACCTTTGTCTTGTAGGACTAGGAGTTAATCAACTTAGGTTAAATCAAATTAACCTGAAATCAAATTTGACCTGTAACATAAAATTTATAAGCAAAGGGAAAAAGGACTGTTTGATTATTATTGTTTATAATTTTATAATGGTCTACATTTATGTTCTTTTTTATATAAAAATTTTTCAGTCCCACTTACTTTTTTGACTCCAACTGAAATTTCTTCTTTTCTTCAAACTTATTAAACTTTAGCTTTCCAGTTTCTTCAGGCTCCTCTCGTGCAACTAAAAATGAAAAACTACTGCTCTGAGCCAGATCTGATGATAATGTCATTCTAATGTAAGACTACATGTAATCACCAGAAACCCAAGCTCTTCAAGTATGCTTAATCAAGACACTGAGTATATATCACTAAGAATGAACTCTGGACTGGACCCTAGACTTTTGATCAAACACTGAAGACTATTCTAGGGAAAACTGTTCAAAAAATATGTTGTGGTTCATTTTTATCCAAGGTCCAAGGTTATTTTTTTGTTTGTCTATGATGAGTCAAAAGTATGGGATCAATTTAAAAACAAGAAACAGGAGTAAATTTACAATGTACATGTTTACTCTTGACTTCAGATCATTTTATGTGAAAGGTGGATATCATGTACAAAACATTTAATGACTAAAAAGAATGATTATTGTCATCATGAAGGCAGCAACGTAAGCAACTACCATTGAATTTGGAGAAATTTCACAAGCAAAACATGTTGTTCACATGGCTTTGCAATTGTTAATAACTAGTCATTGTTTCTAGTCGAGTATCATATTCTTACTACTTGCTCAATATACATTGAAAAAACTATTTTTACCTTCGGCACGTAAGTTTTGAGAGCCTCCGGCAAGGGCAACTTCCCTACTCTGTGATGCAGCACGTGCTCTTTGCTGTTTTAGATACACTTCACGATAACACACTGAACAGTAACCTTTCCATGCTGGGTTGCCATAGAAACCACAACTGCAAAGTTTTAACCATACTCGTTAACACCTCATTCATAATTTCCTACATTTTGAATTATTATACATTCTACTCACTATCTGTCTTCTCATTGGCCAAGAGCCTACAGATAATTTTGGAAATCAGTGCAACCTACAGATTAGTTAGTTACTTATCTGCTGGAAGGTTAGTGACTAATCTGTAGGTTGAGTGTGCAATGCATGATTTTAAAGAGTAACGTCAAACTGAGTACCATGTGTTGCTGTTTTTGTCCTAATTTTCTTCAATTAAACAATGTATAATAAAGCTTAGTAAATCGCGCGATTATACTTTTCTCTTTCTGAAAATTGCCAAAATAAATTTCTAGCAAGAAAAACCACTCTTAAACAATAATTATATCAATTAGTTCCTACAAAAATACAAAATTATTATAGCTGATCTGAAAACTTAAACTGATGCAAAAATTTCATGCCACTTGGTGGTCATGGTCCTAAAGAAACAAACACTACATTTTTAACACCCTCCCCATCTCACACCCCAAAGCATAATTTGTTCTAGTTCTAATCCAGTCTGTTGAAATTTAATACAGTCAAACCTCCACTAATGGGCACCTCACTGTAACGGCTCCACTTTTTTTAGTCCTAGCGGACAGTCCATACATTGACTTTTGTTTAAACCTCTCTACAACGGCTATGGACACTAAATCGTTTCCATAACAGCCAAAAAAGCCTCTTGAAAACAGCCAGTTGTTTCATCAGTGACTAATGAGAATGTCAAGAATAGTCAAGAAATTTGATCCTTATGGCACGTTGATGATTAATCGCGGCATGCAGTCATATTTTGATTGTGTTCCATCTATACTACTGCAGTACACGTAAATTTTCTAAGATACTTCTAGGGATATTGCAAACCTTGCTCGTTCTGTCACGTTAACACTTTGATTCAAAACATTATTCATGTTTTTTTGTGAATTCCATTGCTATCTATTATATATGATTAGATTACCCTTATGGGAAGTATACAGTAAGCATGAACTTAGCACAATAAACGTGTTGTATTTCCTTAAAAAAATTGCCATAGCACACCCCTACCATAACGCCCACCTCTCCACAACGGCCACTTTCTTCTGTCCCCAAGGTGGCCATTGTGGAGGGGTTCGACTGTTATCTGAGGAGATCACAATAATTTATTTTAACCAGCAATTTGTTCATGCCAAGTGAAAGCTTACAACAGCATCAGTAACAAGCAGTTGAAAAGGTGTTTCTAAAAAAATGAAGATCTATCTTAAACTGAGTTGATGCAGTTACGTGTTAAGCTATGGTTTGCTTTAGACAACGCCAAGAAGAAGTAAGTTACACAACTGCACGACGGAAATCACATGATGGTCCTTCATTTCCGGCGAAGCGGGCACGATGTGTAGCAGCCGATAGGCAGTTTATCATTTCATGCACCTTTGCCACGATCTATTCAAACACTCACCAAAGGTTATGATTCATATTTCCTCACGAACAGCTGGCCTAATAAAGAACTTTTTACAAGAATGGAGCTTAAAATGCAGGGATGGAAAGCTGCAATCTACCTTGCAGTTGTTTCAACATCCATCGTTCAGCCTCACAGCTGAGCTTAAAGCGCTGCGTTCAAAATCTCAGAATAAAGAACGACTGACGGTAAGCAGCTTTTTACAATAACAAAAAGTAAGACATAGTTTTCGTTTGCATTAGGTTCCGTGAAGATAGCTAAAGACCGCGAAGACAAATAAGACTACTGGCAGGTTAAACTGCCAAACAATCGAAGATTTCGAAACCAACAAGGGAAATGACTCACCCGGTTTTACAGCGAAGTTCAGGGTTGTTTAACCTCTCGTAAATTTTCGACCGTGTTTTACCACGATCCGCCATAGCCTCGTGGCTATCAGACCTCGTTAGAAAAGGATCTGACCAAAGACATTTATCTACACGCAATAACGTCCCATCGACAGAATCGATTACCTCGCCATTTTGTTTGGAATGTTTGTACCGATTGAACGAAATCGAGAAGAACTGGTAACTATTGATACGGCTGGTGAACAAGTACTGGTAACTAGTTTAGTCACATGTCAAGATAAGGTCAGATCAATAATTGACTGACAATGACTAGACAATTATTTGAGGTGATAAAATCTTTATATTGTTTATTAGTTACAACTCAGCTCCTAATCATATTTTTTTGGATTGGCTTTTGGTTCATCCTTCCATCCTTCCGAATCCCCCTCACCAATTTTGAGCCGAAAGGACCTTACTCCGTCCAAGATCGTTTGATTTGGGAGGGGAGGAGGTCGCTAGTGTTACTAATGAGGAAAGACACAACACTTTTGTCTTCCATTGAAAATGTTGAACGTGGGTCCTAAACGTTGAAGACCATGACTTTATAGCGATCAAGCCAGTTTTTTCAATAATCTTTAGTGCCCAGTTTATCTTGAATCTTTATTATTAACTATCTCCTCCCACATTTCATTATTTGCTGAAAAACTATCATCATCATCATCATCATCATAGTTATCATTATTGCTATTATTATCATTATTATTGTTGTTGTTGCGTTTGTCTTTTCCGCTTCATTACAAATCTCCAGCCGATCAGATCCTCCCACGTAGCTGCTTATATTTTAGTATTTTCCCCTTTTAATATTTGAATAGCTCAAAATCTAAATTTACGTCATGAGATGCCACAAAATATCATTTATGTTAACAGCAAAATCTGAAAATGGTCATAGCCTTTTTATTCACAAAGTATTTTTACTTGTTACTTTATCCTACCCCTCGCCTCCAGTTCTTTTCTTACACAAACTAAAATACTTCGACAAAAGCCGGGGAACCTTCAATCAGACCAATGTTTCGTCTAGAACAACTAAGGTGTTCTTTGCAACAGTTTATTTACAAATCGTAGCGACGTTGATGCGCAGACTTGCATCCGTAGAGAGCTTCCACAACATGAAGTGTCGGCTGATAGATTTTGAACATTCTGTGCGACTCAGACATACAATAGTTCTCCGCGTTCAAATTGCTTATATAGCAGAAGATTGCCTTCTGCGCGATCTCGGTTACACTCCAACTACTTCAATAGCCATTTATTGGCAGATTGAAGATGTGGCAAAATTTTCATTTCGTGTTATAAAAAATCTTTACGCGCAAGCGTGCACCGCCCCTCTATTAAGCCCCCACGTTTTAAAAACTCCTCACCACCTTTGGCAGAAAAAAATGAGTAACTGGGCGCTTATTTGAGGAGATAAGGCATTGATAGCCCGTGAGAGCATTCAACAAGGGGTCTTCAGCAAAAACTATACGATCGGGATATACTTTAACAGACTCTTTTATTTCAAGTGAAAATTAAAGTAACATTACATATACAAATGTCCTTGCTTTTCCCTTTTTTTGTATTATGATAAAGCCTTTAGTACTTCTGATACGTGTTAAGTTCATGCATGGCAAATCAGCAATTTCGTCTTAAAATAATCCATTAGTAAGCGTCCTTCCTTATCCTGACATCGTATGAAACGCACGGAGTAGAAAATTTAAAAAGCAGGAAATACAAACAATGGTCGCGTGCAAAAATGAGCAATATATTTTGCCCACAGACTAGGAACTACTATAAAAACTTGTACTATCGAAATGCAACCTTTTTTTTGGAAGAAAGACAAAAAGTTCTATGAATGAGTTTATTGTTGAATTGCATGGCTTTCCCCCCTTGTTTGTACTTCTGCTAAAATTATAATGTTAGTACTGGCCATGACACCCATGATAATACTGATCCAAATTTTAGTGTTGATGCGTAGTGATGCATTCAAGAAACCTTGGAGCAGTGTTGTTGAGGCGAAGGACTGATCCGTAAGGCAGTTTGTACGGCGACAGTTTTCATTGAAGTAAAATCCTCCACTAGGGCATATCATGTTCGTTGTGAACAAGGAGTAAGCACGTCTCACAAAGAGGCTAGCATGTTCAGGCTCTCTGTCAGTCGGAAGATTTAAAATATAAGCGTCCCAGGTCAACCGCATAGCCCCGGACTATAGCCTCGGGACTTTAGTTCCGAGTTAGAAAGAAAAAGTACATCCAAACAAAATTTCGTCAGTTTGTGATCTACGTATATTGGGTTAAAGCCAGAATTGTTGCTTGAATTGGCACCCGTCTAAATGATCATTCAACCACAGTCGGCCACTCATCAGAGTCTGCATCTAGTCGTGTTGTTCGGACCAGTTTGCGTCACTGCACTGAATTGGAAGGGCTACTGGAAAAATAAACAAAACATGTCTTTACTGAATGACGTAGATTTGATACTAATGAACTCTTTTTATGTCTGAGTTGGGTCATTGATTTTATTTACCAAAAAAATAAGACAAACACAAAACACACACACACACTAACTCACTAAGAAAAAAACACAAAACTCTTGAGGCTAAAAGAGGCCCCTTAAAATTATAGCATTAACGAATCACTAAAATAGTGTTCAGCTTTTGTTCAGCAGGTAAAGTTAAGGTGTTCCTCTGATGTCTACTGGGACTTACGAACTCGTCCAGGATTAAAAAAATTATCAATTTCTTCTCTAGGATAATCAATTTGCGCCTTAATTTTATTGTACCTTTCATTTTCCTTTTATCTTGAAACGTTTAAATAGTTAATCATACCTTCGTCGCAGCAAAGACAGTGACTTTCAACTGGTAGCCTCTTATTTTCATTCGCTGGCATTGTTAGGCGACAGATTATCATCTGGGTAAAGCGATAAACGTTTGCGAAAACGAGCCTGGAAATTCCAAATAGACGATGGATACATCTTAAAACACTGTTGATAGATGACATTTTCTTGAATTGATTCTAGCCAATGCAACCTTATAATATTAGCAAAGGACACGAAGTTACAAGTGTTTTCGAGTTTTGCAGACAAAAATCGTTATTTATGATAGTCAGGCTATCCGTGGGCCCGGTTAGTAGCATTCATTAATCTCCGATGACGTAGACTGAACGGGTGCCAATAGTAACAATTAAGAAGGGGGTAACGTAATAAGCTACCCTAGCTTTTTTTTATTACGCCCTGCAATTAAGTTATAATTAGTCACTCAAGCGTTATGGTAATATAAAGCCGATTATATTATCGATAACCAAATTAAAAATGCGTGCTATGATCGAAAGCTTTGTCAAACTGGTGTCTAAATTACCGGAATATTTAATTTTAGTTTTATTAGTTGCATTGCTCTCTCCTTCTGCATTATTAATTAAATTCCCTGAGTCTTTGTTCATTTCTCAGGAAAGAAACGGTCACTTTCCCTTAAGAAGCATCAGAAACGCGACCGAACATATTCCTACCCTGATGACGCAGTTTAGCGTCAATTGATACTAAAATATAAACTGACCGTAACTACCGAACTTGCAAAACTAAACCTACTGCCTCCTAATTATTACGCACTGCACGCATGTTAATTTCACGTACAGAAATAGTGTATATCGCTGAGCCATTGACCCAGCAGGAACTGAGCAATATCACCAAAGCTCCGTTTAACCTTTAGTTTAACAACACCTTCCGAGACCGACCCTAAGCTTGTTTGAATAATCGGTTGTTAAGACCTCGATTGGAAAAGGTGTTGCGCATAAAGTTAAGAAGGACAAGTCTGTTAACAAACTTGATTTTAACTCTGACAATCAGTTCCAACACTTAAGAGTCCAAAACAAAATAGCGTAGTTTGAAAGTTCAAGTTTTCAATTTTATCAGTGTATGTTTTTTGAAGTGTTCAGAGGGTTGCCATTTCAAGGTTTCTTAATATTGTCTTTAATAGCTACGTGTGCTAACGACAAGTGTGTTGTATATGGAGTAATATCAGTGATCAAGTTTACTCAAGCGTTGTGGTCTTGTAGCGGTTGGCTGCAAACCTTCGAAATGGTTGGAAAAAATATCAATGATATACTCTTTTGTAGCGGAGTTAGAAGCAAAATGAAAAGGAAACCAAGAAGAATAAACCACAACACGGTATGAGCTGACCATATCGGCGTGACTGGTTTTCTTATAAATAAGCGCCGTGTTTAAAGGTAATTTTACACGGGACGATTCGCAACGACGATTTTTAGCGCAACACAGCGTTGCAATGTTGGAACAATGTTGGAACCATTCGAAACAATGTTGCAACGCTGTGTTGCGCTAAAAATCGTCGTTGCGAATCGTCTCGTGTAACATCACCTTAAGATATAACCGCAAGTTTGAAGTAAGCATTTGTAATATTCATTACGATGATAACGCAGAATGGAAACCTGTGTTTGGTGTACTGATCAGTGACTGATGTATATAAAATGCATAATATCAGTTTGAATATATAAAATGTTTAATCCTTCATTATAGTCTGAGTTGCCTTACTGTTTAAAGGCGCTCCAGTTAAAAAGCCGAAGAGGCCCCTTATATCAAGTAATGTCTCAGAAAAACCGAGAATTAAAAACAATAACAATGTACAAAGAAAAACAGAAACATGCGGAATGTTTTGTTGAACAACGAACTCAAACAATTATAGAGTAAGACTAGTTTAATTTTATAACCATGTAAAAATAGTGCATTTATTTTGGATCATAAATCAGTTTCAGTTTCTGACCGAGCTACTCTAATATTGCGCATAAAATAAATTAAATAATGCGATTGTTAATCACGGTCTTTCTTGCCATTCTCTAAATCAATTTTAACTATGGGAGGGTGAGGATATTATCTTTCTTTAGACGTATAAAACAAATCTGTTCCTTAAACTACTGGTATTAAATGATATTTTCTTCGTTCCTCAAGTGATTTTTCATTTTAGAAATCATGTGATTGGCAATGTCTTTGACATGACTGTACATGGCTGTACATGGAACCAGTTCAGTGATCTCCATTTACGCCGTCAAGGGAGACATAGCTTGCCTTCTTTCAGGGGACTACAACTACGTCAAATGAAGTAGTACTTGCTTCAGAAACTTCATCCGCGGTATCTTGATTCGCTGAAAACCCTAGGAGAAAGGCCAGCATAGTATTAGTTGATTAGCTTTCAGCAAAAGCGTGCAGATGAACTAAAACACCAACAATGCAGCTCGGCCTTTGCTAAGAAACGCGTGGCTCAGGCTTTGTTTGACCCTGTGTAGAAGACAATACGGACTTTAAGGTCCAACGACGGGACGGCAATGAGAGAACGTCGCTTAAAAAGTGAATCTGCGTTCTTTCAGTCGTAATCGCAATTATTCCTACCCACTTACTTTGTCAAATGTAGGCGAACCCTCCTGGTGTTGAAATTCTTGGGACCATATCCAAGTACAGAAAGAGAAATAAAATTTCGTCGTTGCTTGCCTACGTCCTCCTCGAAATTGGGCACTTTCATGTCGTAGTCGAGCAAAAACGGGCAAAGAAATGACAAAAAAGGGTGACGCACGTGCAAAGCTTTTGTTTTGCTTTTAAAGCCTATTGTTTTTTTTGACGTTGTCGTTGCCTTCCGCGTCGTTGGACTTTAAGTCCCCAATATGACAGTAGTTGGTTTCTTTTCTACCCTAAGCTATACTTGTGTGTGACGGTAAAGATATTGGCTTTCCATCCTGAGTGCCCTACTTGAGACCAGAGACCAGAGATCCAGAGAGCCGTGAGACCCTAAGACCCTACATGAGACCCAGTGTCCGCTTGAGACCTAGGGCTAAGCTCACACCCTACCGGATCACGTGCTGACATGAAAATTTATCCGCTGTAGTATGAGCAACAACGGTCCGATGCGGCACATTTCAGTCCTTGCTCCTGCTTATTCACCAAAGTGTGGCACAAAACCTATCCGATAAGTGACGCTTCGGCTTTCAAGATCGGCGTGGTGCATCTTTTCGATCCGTCACAGAAATGGCGCTGATCGAAACCACTGTTCTTACGTGTGAACAGAAACTTTATCCGGTCCGTATGATTTTCGTGGCAGCGCGAAAGTTATCCGGTATAGTGTCTAGTAAATCTGCAATCGAGACTATAAGCATCCCCGTCACTTTCACTCCACACCCATGCCCCCAAACGGGCAGCCCATTGAGGAGCGGCGGGGGGAGGGGGGGGAGGAGGGGCGGTGTTGACACTCCAGACTATTTCACTGTTTCATATGGGGAGTCGACAAGGGCCACATCAGTTACAAATCACTCAAGCCATTTAAACGTTAAAGTGTTCGGTCTAGTATTTTTTTGTAAGAATAAGAATGGTTTCAAAATATACCAACCTTCTTTGGAACAACATAATGACGAGGACTGTAAAACCAAAACCATTAGCGAACCAGCGAGAGCGAGTATAGCAGGAACGATGGAAAATACATGACGCACGTAATCACTCGCACTGGAGACAGAGCTGCAAGCATTAAGAAATAAATTTTTAAAAAATTAACACATGAAAAAATGGGCCGTTTTTCCTCACAAGATAAACACATGACAATACTGATTTAGGACTGGTTAATTTCTTACGGCATGATTTATGATACCGTCGAACCTTCCCTATCGACCCCCTTATTTTCTCCCGGGGAGCAAAAAAGCCATACATTGACTCTTGTTTAAAACCTCTCTACGACGGCGCCTCTTTACAACGGCAAAGGTAGCCGTTGTAAAGAGGTTCAACTGTAGTCTTGCACGGACAATCTCCTTGTTTTGTTACCACTTTGACTATTATTCCTTGACATAAAGTTCATCATTAATGGAAGGGCCACCAAGCGAAACTTTAAGTATAACAATATAAATCTAATATCACTCAGTTGCTTTTTAATTCTCCTATGTAACAAAGTTTTCCCAAAACCATTTAGCGTATTTTATGGTGAAAGCGTTACCAGTGGGTCTCTCTAGGCCCAGCAAATTCAAAACGCGCCTTTTTTGAAAGCAGGTTTTGAAGGTAACTTCAAAAAGTTACGTACAGTTCTCTACGTAGACCGACCGCATTCGAGCGCGCGAAACGGCTCCTGATGCATACTTGTAGTATAAATTTTCTTCTGGCTTTCGTGAATATTAACCAGCGGGGCGAAGGGTTGAAATAGCTCTATCCATAGAGGCTGACTGTGCTAATAAACAAAGGCCTTGTATATTAATTGATCAATATTTATCATACCCGTCTTCTGGATAAAATTCTTGGATAGTGATGAACAATGCCCCGCTAGACAGTCTTCCTATAAAAACGACAATGGCGAATACCGATCCACTGGTTTCCTGCAAATGAAATATAAAGTAATCAATAGTAAAATAACAATGCTTCGTGAATTCTAGGAATATGTGAAAATTCTTTTTTTTTTCGTTTATTTATTTTTTTTTTCATTTTACCGTAAGTTTTAATGTTGTAGAACGTTTTCATATTCTGCAGCTTTTCAAATATCGTGATTTTTAAAGTACTCAGTTTTTAATTTTTCGTTTCCTTGTATATCATGACTTATCTCTTCTCTTAAACGCTGAAGTAAAAGTTGGATTCCCAACAAATTTCTTTGATAAAATATGATGCAGATAAAAAGCGTTGTCAGTTTGATCTCAAGCAAAAATGGCCATTAACTAAACACATAACATATCATAAGCAGGTTGAGCATGATTGTCTGGATGAACTCTGATGTATTCCTGAACAGGACTTTTGTTGACAGTGACTGACGTTTCGACAACCTGTGCGCTAGTCATCTGTGCAATTGTCAAGATGGCTGCTGTGATTACTGCACGGGTTGTCGAAACAGTCACTGTCAAAAACATTCCTTTCAGGACTACGGTCATCCGGACGATCATGTTCAACTTACTTATGAAATTAATGACTCCTGGGTTCAAACCTTTTACAACGCAAATCATATTCAGTAGATTTTCTTGTAAAGCTTGTATGGGAAGTCATACCTTATCATCTCCGATGACTTCTGTACATAAAGTTAAAGCTATGACGTACATGATAGACATGCCGCAGCCTATCAAAATAACGGACGCATATGTGGCTTCTTTTAGATCCGGGGTTTGGAAATAACAGTAAACTGATGGACCAATCACTGAGAGGGATGCAATTAGATACGTCCACTATAAAGGAAAAACAATGAAAAATAATGAAGGATAAATTTAAGGCAATCATGCTGCATTTTTGGATTGACCTTAAAACGGTGTAATTACTTAGTAAAGTTTTCTCTTTTTTTCTGAGTTCCTCCGTCATTAAACGATACGGGATTTTTTGTGACCTTTTCCAACTTAATTTAAATTATTTCTTCGTTTTTGAATGCTGGACATCAACTGATCTGTAAAAGTATTATTAAAGGTAATAAAGGAAATTTAATTTTATAGTTCGAGAAGAAAAGTTTAACAAAGGATAAAGCCGATTGATCACTTATTTTTCTGCTTTACCTTGCTTCCCAGTTTGGTGTTAAGTTTGTCTGAAATAGTGCTTCCAACAGCTGCACTGACAAGAAGGACAAGGAGAAAGTAGGCAATGGATTGCTGGAAATAAAGAGCAAATGCAGAAAAAGCTGATTAAAATACAATTTAAAATTATAGGGAGATAAACAATGGATTACTGCAAAAAGAATAAAGACAGAAAAAAGGCTGACTAAATAAAAGAAATATAATTTGAAAATAATGTTATCAGCTGTAAAAATAATTTTATCACACGGTCATTTGTTTGCAAGTCAAGTGGTTCGTCCTAGATACGTCATCGACATGCTTTACGAAAATTGCCATAGCCAGGCAAGGATCTCAGGATCCCTGCCCGGCTAAAAAAGTCTCATTAAAATATAATTGAAAAAATGATATCATCAAGTAGCAATTAGTGAGTGAACTATAAGCCTCAGTTTGTATGGTTACAATTGTGGTCAGCTTGCTGCCTGATAACAGTCTTGGTTTTTTTCTTCTTAAAGTAAATTATCTTCAGCAAGGAGCCCATCATTTTAATACGCGACAAATTCGTTTCCGGTCCAGTCACATCAAGATAAACCAAGGAAATACAGGACCGTAAAGGCCTGGAAAACGTTCCCACAAAGACAAGAGGAGGTTCAACAATGAATTTTTGAATTACTTTACCTTTCCAAAGCCCAGTCTTTCTGTCAAGTACAAAGGCAAATATGCATAAACTGCATCCTGCACAAGGCGCGAACACGTGACGACAATAGCGACCTGTCAATGAATTGATATCAAAGTCTCATTCAGTTATTTACCCAGAACAACTAGGAATACTCCGCTTATAGCAACTTCGCCTTTCCTTTCTAAGGCCAGAATATACAGAAAAAAAAGCAAAATAAAATTCCTAAACAACGTCTCCTACTGGGATTTGAACAACATATGATGTAAATAAGCATGGACTACATGACCTGAAACAGCTGTTTCTGCGTTGTTGATGGTCGCGATTGTGCGGAGCATGCGTAGTGGGCGTCAAACGTAAGGTCTGAGAACTAGAGTGAAAATGGGGAGTTAAAGAGGGTACTGACTGGAATGGATACCTAAAAATCAGGTTAGACATTCAAATTTATTACATGGGCACATTTTTGAGAAAAATGGTAGATGACAACTTCTAGTGATTTTGATCGGTACCCATTCTGGTCACAGATCCGTTCGGAAATGCTAAAATAGAATTGTTTGTTTTGTTAGATTACCTTGTAAACGCGAGGATTCTTTAACCAGTCTTTTATAGTCTTTTGTTTTCTTTTCGTGGAACTCGTAGCTGGCGTTGGTTTATCAGTTATATCGTTGGAACCATCCTCTGCTGTCTCCTTCTCAGATCCGTGCTCGTCGTCAACAAAAACTACTTTCTTCTCACTTTCTGTCTTCGCTAATGACACAACTCCCATTTCAGGAAATTCAAGCACTTGGTCACAACCTTTAATGGAGTAATTTTCCTTGTAGACAGGGTCAGGAATTGTATCTGACTGCGCAATCGTTTTCATTTCTTCATTAAAATGGTCGGAAATTATCTCGGACCTATTAAGAGCGTCAGTGGCTTCTTTCTCGGATGCCACTCCCCTCTCAATTCCGTAGGTTTGATCGTCTTGGTATCCAGAGTTGTATATTCCATGCGTATTAAAACCTCCATAAAACATCGAAATGCCTTTTTTCCGCCGTCGTTCCTTCTTTGTGGTAGCTCCATGTAACTCATCATTTCCTGAAACTTCCGAGTCAGCTTCGTGTTCTTCCATTATTTCCGTTTCCCCGGTTTCACTGCTGTCGAGTTGGCTGCAAAATTAAACCGGCAAAAAAAGACGGACTATAATGTGCTGTTTTAGGCTGGCTGAGATGGGGAGATGGGCCTATTTTCCCGCTAAACCTCCCCAGCTTTTTGCCAGAAGGGATAAAAAGGTTTTCGTCATACAATAAGTCGTTTATCATACTGATATTGATTAAGCCGAATATGATGAGTATATCATGAAAATCATATATAGGAACTGCGGAGTGAAAGAAGATCATCGCAGTTAGATCTAAGCCAACAGACGTCGAACTTTTCATGAGATGAACCAAACTCTAATTTGGGTCGATCTAAATTAAGTTACGATCGTCTGTTGGGTCAAACGTCGAACTTAGGACGCATCGAACCAATCAACTGAATTAGACCAAAATAGGAATTTTAATATTAAATTCTCTCCCGAACGATGTTAAATATATATTGGTGTTCAATTTTATCCTTGGTTACAGTCTATTTCCCTTTGTTTTCGGGTATAATAATGTATGATAATGAGTTTAAAACAAAGGGAAGTAAAATTTAAACCAAGGATAAAATTGAACCACAACATAGACATTATCAGACAATTTTTAATTTATTACTTTGGTTCGTCGCATGAGAAGATCGACGATTGTCTCGGAGACCATCTTCAGACGTTCTATCCGTCTGAAGCAGACGGCCGCGTGGTGGACGATCCAAACTCGTTCAGACGAACTTAACTGAGCCAGATGTCGAATTTTTCATGAACTTAACTCACTGATGAAAAGTTCGACATTCACGTTTTACGGTGAGACATGCACTCTTTCCATTGGCTGCATTTATATGTTACAGCGTCACCGCTCTGAGCGTCACTGTACTACTAACAGTGAAAAGTGTTTTCTTAAGCTTACCTGTCGCTGAAATTATCAGTTTCAAAACTTTCCGTGCTTGAATTGTCGAGTTCAGTGTGTCCTCCGTTTGTGGAAACTACAGACTCTTGGAGTTGGCTTTCATGTTGTGTCTTATGAATGAGCCCGTTTATCACACGTAAGACGAGACTCTGTTTTCGATCGCTGTCGAGCCTTTTCACATGTTCAATCAGGTCTTTAAAAAGAATGAAAACAACATAAATTACAAAATTTAATTTCTCTTGTAGCATTTTAGACCATTGAGCATCTCGAAAATGAATTGAGTCCGACTAATAAAGTTCGACGTCTGAATCAACCGTCGAACTTGTATTACGATTTGGGTCGACCTAAATAGATAGGTATTAAGTTCAGTACATGAAAAGATCGACGTTTGAACTGGGTTAAAGTCTCGTTTTCAAAGTGAGAGTTTTTAGAACTAGGAAATGGCCTATTTTATAGTTGTGCATGTTAGGTGAACTAGTGCATGTTTTCTGATTACCTCACATTGTAGGCTTGTGGCCGCGTGCAGCATTTGTTGCAAGAAATCTGACTGTTGTATGCCCGTACGTAGGGATGCGCCCCCGTCCCCCTCCAGCAGCTCCCCTCAAAACCCTTTACTCAGATATTTTGCTACATAGATCTCACTACCTTTGTTAATTTGTAAGTATGAAAATGTGTGTGATCAGGGGACCAGATAAATCAGAAAAGAAAGAATGATTCAACTTACCACTTCCAGGTTTTACAATTGGTTTTTCATCTTTGACTTCAGAAACGTGAGGCTCTTCTTCTGTCGAACTGTCAGGAGTATTAAACGCAAAGAGAGCTTGGGTAAATCGTTGAAGCAAACTCGTCTTTCTCATTATCTCATCTTCGAGATCTCTTACTTCACCCGTGGCTTTTTCGATGTCGTCTTCTTCACTTCTCATCGAAGACATAAGAATGTCAACAAACGAAAGAGCTATGGCAGAAGTTTTCCTCCTGACATCTTTCGGTAGAAAAGAAAAAATAAACAGAAAGGGTTAAAACATTAAAACAAGCTACGAACAAGTTTTGACTGTTTACTTCTTAAACGACTGAATATATTTTAAAACAAGATTAAACAATACTAAATGTTGAAACAATGATTTACTTGTGTTGAGCACCTATCGTATCACCTCGAAAAGAATAATAGACTAAACCCACCTTCAGCAGTTTCGAAAACAGCCGAATAAATAGTCTTGCCAGCCTCGAATAGTCCACCGACGCCCTAGACATGGATAAAATCGGGTTAATTTTGTTGCGGTTAAGGATGCTAAATATCCATTTATTCCGACTGAACCTCAATGTCCGTTTTAAGTTTCTAACGAGCGAGGTCGTTTTTAACTTCGATCCGCTCAGAGATGCATTAAAGGGCATTTACACTGTACCTTTTTAGACTCTTTCGAACGTAGAGTTTATAGATTAAAAAATATATTGTTGGCTTGAAACGACTTCTTTAAGCGAGTTACAACACAAAATTGAAAATACTTTTGTAAGCACAAAGGAGTAATCGAGCGCTGCCTGAAGAAATTGCTTATATTAGAATGTTTCGACGTCAGGCTTAATTGTTAGACCTCCAGACACAGAATAACTAACTAGGGTTAAATTCCAGTGTTTTGACTTACTGCAGGATCCATAAGTGAACTTAGTGGGCGTAAAGCCGCTTCCTTTGTGCCAATGTAGAAAATAATTTGAAAGAAAACTCCAGTGCCTGTAGTAATCCCAGCGAGATGCTGTGTGGAGAAAAAAAAAATGTTTGAGAAAATTAATCTTAAAGAAGAAGCTCTGTCTTGTTTGGGACGTTTATGAGTTCTAGTTGATTGTGACTCATTCTTTGCTAAATCTAAAAGAAATTATACCGCTTGAGTAAATTGGTTAAAATATCATTTACCTCTGAAGATCAGATGCAACCCTGCCCTCAATACAAACAAATTGATCCCTGTCCAAAGGATAACGTGGGTGTGGCTTGGCATATAACAGAATATAATAAGTAGTCTTACGTGAAATAAAGAGCATCAACCATCACGTCACCTTAAG